ACCTCCTAAATTGTTTCTCAACAAGGTATTTCTCTTTTTACATATGCGAAGGTGCTTATAACAATCCATAAATATAGCTCTCAAGTTTCAACAGACTATGTCAAATCAGATACAAACATTCAGTTTAAAATGAAAAGTGTAATTAACTGGATGATGCCCCAGTAGTTATTAAACATAACAGACTTTGATATTTTTCGCACAATGTACGTTAAATGAATAACATAAGTACACGTTTTACCAATTTGATATTCTAATGAGAAAGAGTATCATATTATAGAGTAAAATGGTTTGAAAGTTAAATCAACATATATCCAATATTCCAACCTTATAAAAAATTCACATTGGCATTATAACAGAAATAGAAATTATCATAAACTTAATTCAAATTGAAGCATACTAATACATAGGGAAACGCACACAAAGAAAAAAGAATCATAAAACTCACGGAATCATGGGTCAAGTAAGTGTCGCAGTAGTCACAGTAATACCTGAAAAAACACATAAATGATCAATAATTAAACAAAAGCGAAAAAATGAGCATAAAACCGAAAATAATTGGAAAAAAAAGTCTGCATACCGAGGCATTGGATTAAAGAAAGGACAGAACTTTGTAACTCAAGAAGTTACTTTGACAATGTAAATTCGAATTTTGCGTACAAAAATTTCGCCGGAAGTATCGTCGGAGAATTGTTACCGGATTTGAACTCCGACTAATCGGACGGCAGCAGTATTGTATAGAAACTTCGGAATGCCTAATTGAATACGCTCTAAATTCAGACGAAGATGAAAGCTCGAAAAATACTACTGGATTGAAGACTAGAAGGTTCTAGTAGAGACCATCCTTCGCCAGTTTAAGGCCAGCACAAGAAAGAAAAATGTTAGCCCATTTAGTGAAGAAAAAAGGGATATTTACATAAATAGCCAGTTGAATATATTGTTTACTTTTTTAGTTGGTATATATAAATTATTTACTAACTATATATAATTATACATATATTATATAAATTATATATATTATAAATATTATATATTTATCGATTATATTTAGTTTAAGCGATTGAACGGATGATTTAAGTTAATTCTTCACTTGGGAATTTGATAGGTGTATGCCAACCGTGCTCAACATTTTGGGTCCCTTATTCTCCTGGGCCTCCTCCTAACTGTCGCTCTACACTTCGGTTGCTACGGATGATTTGCGGGTAATTGATAGGAGTAACCCTATAAGGGCTGATTTTTAAATATTATCTATGTTTTCTAACATATTTAATAAATGACCTCTGGACTCACATATACTTATGCTTGTCAGGTATTTTATTACCGGATTGATTGATTTTATATTATATTTATTCTACTTATATGGTTAATTGTTTAGAAACTCTATCCCGTTGCATGACTTTGTGATTATTCAATTGTGTACCAACCTCTATCATATTGGCATGACTTTGTGTTATCTGTGTTTAGGGGTGTTAAATGGACGGGTTGAATAGATTTTAGGCATGTCAAATCGGGTTGAGCCAATAATTGAGCGGGTCAAAAGTTACTTGGGCTAAGGTGAGCTAAAATTTGGATCATAACCCAATCAGTGCAACTCTTATTAAGCTTTACGTAGTATGTGTTATTTTCTTGTTAAATGTATAATTACTAAATAAGACTTTTTTCTGTTATGGTCAAATATAACATACCAAACAAAAAAAAATTATTTTAAAAATACTTTGGCAAAGTTACGCATGGATCAATTTAGGCTAAAACCCCAACTTTAAATGGGTTGAGATTGATTGGGTCAAGATGGGCTGAGTTCAATAAATGGGCGGGTCAATAACCAGCCCAACCTTGGGCAGGTTCATCGGGTCATTTAGGCTTTGGCCAAATTTGACACCCCTATTTGTATTTCACCTATTTGCGAAATTGTTCATAAACTCTATTCAATTAGCATGATTTTGTGCTTGTTCAATTTTTCATCAAACTCTAGTGGAAAGGCGTGAATTTGTATTAGCTGCAATCGACCTATCTATTAAATTGTCAATCAAAATCTATATGTTAATGTGCATAATTTTATCTATATTGTTGAACAAGTATTCTTCGAATTGCAATTTTAATTTTTAGATTAAACAACCCCAAATCTGCTCCAAAAATCTCCAAATTGATACCAACACAAACGATCCTCAATTATCAATTTTATCAAATAACACCAAATGAAGAAGACTTGTTTTCTCTTCTTCAACACTTTCTAAGGATCACAATGAAGTTTTAAATTTTTTAAAGCAAATCACTAAATGATTTAGGTATAAATTATCAACATTAAAATAATTTTAATAATAACAAATTATTAACTTACAATTTCCTCCCCAAACAAGAATTTCAAGCTCCATAGTTCTTGGTGAAGGAAAAACATATTATAAATAAAAAAGGGAGACAATTTTAAAGGCCAGTCCCGAGACAACCGGCGCAATTTTGTTGTGATTTGCACAAGGTAAAATATCTGGACCGGAATTCTTTTTAGGTAAAGCGGTAGATAACAAGGAACAGATGGACTTCAAATTTACGTGTTGATAATGTAATGCTTTCGCAAGTCACAACCATAACCTAGTCAAGCTTAAGAATGACGTGTCCATAAAAAGTGGATAAAACCGTTCCAATTTAACCTTTAAGTGCAACCCAAAGCATGTGATATGTTTCTATAGACAAAAGAGTCCAACTACTGCTTCACAAAAACCCTCGAAAAAGTAAGTGGATGAGTGAAATGAATGAATCCCACTTAAAAGATAAGATCGAGCACTTAACCGAAAAATCCCACCATCTATGCAGTAATCATTATATTAATTATCTTAAGTAAAGGATTAAAGTATTAACCATCTATATATTAGCTTAAGCAAAGGATCAAGTATTAACCATCTATATATTATAATAGAGCACTAAAATTCCAATTTGTCAATTAAATAAACATGGAATTTTTTGGAGATAGAAGCGAAAAGTGTAGTAATATTTTCCTATTAGAAGCCAGTGGTGACTCTCAATCTGATTCCAAGATTCATCTAGGCAACTCTCAAGAAAATCTTGATGAAGCCAATAATATTGTTGAGGATGATGATGCAGAATCTTGCAGTCATGAATCCAAGGACATTCTTGGAAATTCACAAGAAGTGATTAGTGCTTTTGAAGAACAAGATGAAGAACATAGCTTAAATGATGAAAAACAAGAAAATGAAGGATACCATTGTTGCAGAAAAGAAGAGAGTTTCCAATTTTTTGGAGAGTCAATGGAAGAGAAAGAAGAAGATATATCAAGTAATAATATTATTGCTAAGAGTACAATGGTCCCAAATGTAGAAGAAGAGGTGGAAAGAAACAGGCTATTCTGGGAGACTTGCTTTGAAGAAGGTTATCCTTAAACTAGATGTATTTTTAATTTGTTTTCCTTCTTTTTTAACATTTTTTGTTTGCTGGTGGTAAAATTATTGTGTGTTATACTCCTCCTTTTTGGCTACTAGTTGAGGGAAGGGTAAAAAGGATTGAGAGAATGGTGTGTTGAGTTTTTCTTTAATTTGAAAATCATTGCTTTTGTCCATAAAAGAAATGACATATTACTTTTGTAAGACATGAGAGAAAAAAAAAACCTTGTGATATGTTTCTCTTCTTTCTCTCTATGTCTCTCCAGACCAGTAAAGTTTTACTATTACTAATTATAGGGCAAATGTTGAACTTTGCTCTTGAACCTATTCAAGAACCCCGCTCAACACATTATCAAGAGCTCTCAAAAGCTTTTCGTGTGATGTTTACCTGGTCAGTAAGAGGAGAGGATACATTGAAAAGAACCGGGAGTGAAATCAGAAATCGAACTAAATGATTTAACGTTACTACATTAATAATAGGGGTCAAATGGATCCATGTTGTTAGTAAAGTGACTCGCGTATGCCCGTATTGACTAACGATTAAACCATTGTATATAAGCCTGCCAGACGAGGCTGTGCCTAACACATATTGGTGTCAAGTTGAAGTGTCTACTTGCTTATTGCGAAATATCTTGAGGAAACCTCATAGAACTACCTCAACCATTGCAAGGCAAAATCAAGGACCCAACGTAAAATCAAGGACCCAACGTAAATTCAATAGTTAGATCAAAGGATCGTTCATTAGCCCTACTAGTCAAATACTGGAAAAGGAGGGATGGATTTCGTCCTTACTTTTTTAGGTCTCAGGCTAGCTTTTGACTTATATGGTGCTTAGGCTTAGCTCATTAAACAAGTGCGCCAAAAGTGGGGATGGTATCATATTCTCTTATAAGAGAGGCACGCCTGCTTTTAGCTCGTAGTTTCACTCTTGCTTTTGCCTTACCTTCTATTATATTAGTAAAGGGCGAATGGGGGGCGTGTGCAATAGTTTTCTTACTTTCTCTCGATCGCTTCAATGCCTATAATTTGAAAGATAAGAGGAAAGCCTTCTCTCGAATTCGAAGATGTAACACAAATAATGACTCTCTTCGCCGGGATGTCAGCAGGTCACAAATAAGGGTCTGAAAGAGTTCACGATCTGATTCATGAGGTGTTAACCCTCGGAGGACAGCTAAGAATGTCCATTAAAAGGAGCGATGTGGTCGTTTTTCATTCACGAATAGAGAGATCTAAAAGGGTTGTGCAACCTAGAGAGATGGCCATATCTTTTTGATGAATGTGGTATCGAGGTTCGGTTTATTTAGAAAAGAGGTCAATCTTAGGCTCCACTGATGGTATGCAGCGGAGACCTGAGTGGATCAAGTATTACCGCAAGGAGCGCTATGCCAAGACTAGACGACAGCCAAGCAAAAAAGGATGATTTTTTCGCTATGTTCATAAAAATTCAGAGCAACAAAGGTGCGTTATTCAATTAAGCAAAGAATTCAGAAGGAGGGTTAAGTTTACCAACTCTAATGTCATTAAGGTTATAACACGAGAGGACCAAAGGTGTAAAATAACCCTCCACTCCACTCCACTTCCACCCATCCTCAGACTTCCACACACAAAAGGGAAACAAAAAACCATTTGTGGAATAAATGTGTATTGTCAAATGGGTATCTAGTCTACTTTTCCCAGAGGTGCAACTGATTGCTTCATTTACACATACAGATCCAAGAAACCAAAGTATTAAATGTCTATAGAGAGAAGAAAAACAAGAAGTAGGGTTCCACAAGTATTACATTTTGATATATGCCCAAATTCACTTCATAGAATTTTTTCATCACATGCCAAGTGAAGTAACAAACAAGCTGGTGAAACAATCAGTTATGACACACTCTTCAACCATTCCATAAGAGATATGAATAGGACCAAGCTCGAAAAAGCAGGCCATGTTCCTTCAAAGCCAATTCCTCAGTTGCTGTAAAGAGACGAGCAATTCATGAATATAACAATGAGAATGATCCCAAAGCGTGAGATAATCTTTTACAACATGTCAAATGTGTGCTAAACAATCTATAAAACATCTCTTCCTTTCATCATTATCTATGAGTAAGTTTCATCAGGGACTGCTAAACGGCAGGGGCGGCTCAATAAATATGGAGACCTAAAGCAAAAATTCAATGAGGTCCTTTTTTTATATAAAAGAAAAAATTCATATATAATTTCATTTAAATTCTGTATTTCTAGTTTTTCATATGCAAAGTTATTAATAATTTTATCTAATCCATTTAATTTCTCTTGAGATATACACGTTGTGGGACTGTATTAAAGTTTTAACCTTTTTTGAGTTATGAATTAATAATCGAATCCTTTCTCAATTTATGGTGTAGAGAGTGATTCCCAAAAAGACATTTTTTCTCAATTTATGATCAACAATTTAATCCTACTTTTTTACCATGAAAATTTGTACTTTCTCATTTAAAACACTAAATATTCTTCTAAAAATAAATTAATATATAACCTATTAAAAAATTTTGGGGCCCCAAAAATTATGAGGTCTAAAGCAGCTGCTTTAGCAGCCTTATCCTTGGGTCGGCACTACTAAACGGTTGCTTGACTTTTTAATTACAGCAGCTCGAACACAACATGTATGGTTACTGTTTTACGGAACTGTCAACATTTATGAAGCGAGCCAAAAACCAATTAAAGACATACACATTCAAATATCCTGTTATTTTGGTGGTGAAACCCCTCAAAAGTGGTGGTGAGAGACCGAGTTTCATTGACTAGATTGTTGCAATGTGTTCTTGTTTGAAAAAGGTTTACAGACTTAATACATATTTAGCAGGCAATTTCCCTGTCTTCTATGATGGATCTCATTATTTTCAGGAATTGTTTTACAATTCACTAATAGAAAGGACTTCCTTTCCTTTTGAAATTCACACCAACATTTCGCAAGTAGCAATTACCTTATAATTCTCTAAACAGAAGCGACAGAGCTAAGAATCTTTTGTTGCTTCTGCGTCCTGATGTCTCCATGGATTGAGAGCATCTCTGACAGCCTTGGCTTCAGGAGAATTTTCCCAGGCTCTCTTTTCTGCCTCTAGAACAGTCACCTTATCATCTGATACAAAATTGTTATCAAGATAAGCAGCACACTTTTTTCTTCACATTAAAAGGAGCGGTGACACTTGAGCAAACTTGTAAAATACTGATATACTGTAGTAAGATTAAACCGCAATCATTGGCAAGGATACAAAGAATAGGAGAAAGTATGAGCAAATTAGGTTTCTACTGTCAGTGACAGTGATCCCTACAAATCTCTAGTACAAATTATGATATCAATCAATAACTACTTCAATCCAAAATGAGTTAGGTAGGCTATATGAATCATCTTCATTTGTTCAATTCAATTTATGTCCATTTTATAATCCTAAATCTCTAGAATAAATACATCAGGATGAATAATCTAAATATTTCCAGAAATGACTATCACTGCAAAATTCACAAGCTTATAAATCTTTCTTTATCTCTTCTTTCTTTTCTCTAGTGAAATAAAGCTCAAATATTTCTTTATATTTGAGAAATGAAGAACGGTTAATGCATAAATTATAACACAAAGAAGTAGAAAAAGGAAGAATGACATACAAAAGCCAGTTTTGATCATGAAAAACTCCATGGAACCTCCAATCATGGCGGAAACAACAGCAATTTTCAGATACCAATCCCAGAATTTCATTTCAAACCTTCTAAAACTGCTTCAGTTCCTACAAAGCAAAGAGAATTTGAAGAACCCAATTAGGGGAAGTTAATAGTGGACTTAAATGTACCATATGTAAATAAATTCGAAAATAACAAGCAATAGAAATTAAACAAAACTGGTTGATAAACGCCCGATTAACTCTGCCAATAAATCAATCAGCTAATCTTAATAGTATCAAATTAGTTCCTTATAATTCATTCTGCTCGTTCGTAATTTAACTGATTCGTCAAGTTAAAGACTATTTTTACCTAAGTGGCCAAAGCAATCCTCTTCCTTTACGAACTTGAGACAGTAGATGCTATTGAGGATACTGAATCTTCTACTACTCCTCTAATAACAAGCGATGCAACAACTCTGCTTCTGGCTTTCTCCGTTTTTCTTGATTTCTCCAGCTCAATTAATTGCAGTTCACAACAATGGGGCGGGTCGTGACCGATTCCAGCCCAATATCAATGGTGATCGGGGGGGAGTGCACAAATAGCCAGTTTTAGGACCCCCATTTAAAGAAGGGCCCTTTAAAGAAAATAGCCAAACTTCACAAAAATTTTAAAGTTTAACCGCCGTATAGTCAACTTCTGACATGCATGCGTGAAGTTGTAAATCACGAGTCATAAGTTGAGAGCTGCCAAAGTCAAATTCCATACCTCATATTTGAGTAAAAATTGCACTGGTCGCCCTTTTTTAACTTGCACCCATTTTGTTTTTCTGTTTATATTCATATCCGATTTTTTGTTAAAAATATTTTAAAAAGACAATTTTTCCCTTCTTTAATAAAAGACTACTTTCTCTCCAAGTATACGGCATATTGTCTCTTGTTTCTATCTCTCTCCTTCTTCGCGATTTTTTATTATTCTCTTAAATCAAACGGTTTTCGCCATTGCATTCTGCATGATTTTGCAACTGTTTCTTCTCCAACTAAATTAAGTATAATCACATATATAATTTTAATGGTTGCTTTTGTACATTGCATTAACTGTGTATGGGGTTTTAATTTAGAATTAGTTTTATGATTTAATTTTTGAGTTTTTTTTGGTTGATAGTAATCTTAGTTGAATCATTTTCCGTTTTATTTGTGCTAAAATAGTTTCCTAGGTTTTACTTTGATCAGTGCATTAGTTTTGTAGGTTTTACTTTTACGATTAGTGTTTTTACATTTTTTGAAATTGTGTTTGTGTTTTTGATGAGAATTCTATATATTCTTCAGTGATTGTTGGAGACGATTTTTAAAAATTTTGAGACTCAAATAGATGGTGCTATTAAAGTCTGAAATTTATAATACTTCAAGGATAATTTAAGTCTGTAAAGTCTGAAGTTAGAAGGCTTTAAAATATAACTTAAGCCAATTGTTCTGAAGTTTTTAATGATTCTTTTGATCTGGTATGAAGTTATAAAAGCTGTAAAACATAAATTATGCCATAATGTTCTGAAGTTATTTTTCCCACATGTAATATTTTTCAACATATGGCATCTAGGAAATCCAAAGCACCAAAGCACCTAAAGCACCTAGAATACGTAAAGCTTCTTCAGTCCATGTTGCTCTACCTACAAAATCAGGGGACAAATATTATGAGTTTTGAGATTGGTTTAATTGTCCTGCTTACTGGAAGGGGAACCACGATTTGAAAGGTTTAATTGCATCTTTCTTGACTCCCGCACAACAGGAGAAGCTGAATAATGATACATTTCAGTATATCATGGCTATGAAGAATTTCCATTACAACATGAAATTGGTTCATTGTTTGATTCTTTCTCGCGTATTCACTAATGATCGAGATTCCATTAGTTTCAAAATTTTCGGCCGTGATGTGTTGTTCAGCCTTGAAGAGTTTCACATTATGAGCGGTTTGAGGTTCACGACACATAATGCTGAAAAACCAATTAAACGAGAGAGTAAGATTCTGAAGTGCTATTTTGAGAAGTTTAAGGGTGTGACCTTGAAGTACATTCGAGAGTATATGATATGGAATGAAATTAAAAAGGATGATATGAATTTCAAACACGTATGCGAGAGTGATGAAGATGTTGTGAAGCTTATAGAAATCTTATTGTGGAGTCTATTTTGTTCGGAAGAAAATATGAGTCAACTGTGTTGGAGGAGTATGCAGCTATTGTTGAAGATGATGAGGCTTGTATTAATTATCCTTGAGGTAATGCGTCTTATGAGAAGCTTATTACCTCAATGAAACATGCTTTGGACAACAAGGACAAAACCTATGCAACTGAGTATGTTGTAGGTGGATTTCCATATCCATTATGTGTTTGGTTCAATGAGCGCTTCTCAAATATTCGGGACAAGTATTTAAAAGATGACAACTACCTTGATGCCCCTCAGGTTTCCAGGATGTTACATTATCCATGTTTGGGAGAGCATAAATTTAAGGAACTTTATGCGGATTACTTCAATAATCATGGTGTAAGTTAATGTTCTTTATTTTTTCTTTTTTCTATAATTTTTTTTTAATATGTTGACGTATCAGTTTTATTTTATTTTTCCTAATATACTTTTTTCTATTAAACATAAATATCAGACATTTAGGGTGACGAGCGCAAAACACACACTTAAATTCTGCTCGCTAGTCAAATATAGTATTCTAGTCAAATATAGTATAATATAATATCGTATCCACATGGATTGGATTTAAACAATATTCTTGTAGTTTCTACCTTGATTGATATTCAAGATGATCAACAATTGAGATTTATATGATTTCTAAATAAAATTAACTAAAAATCTAAAGCTATTGGCTAATGACAATCGAACAAAGATAAGCAAGGAAGTTATCAGTGGGAGGAAATAGGGGTTGATAGGATAGGCACAAGATAATTATTTGGGATCTAACTCTAGATAATTCACTTCTAATGTTCAAGCGAGTCTATCGAATTCACTCAATTATTAGTTCAAGCATTCAAGAAAAAATTCTCTCTCGATTAAGTCTTAACCTCACGAGATGAACCGATTTAAGCATGTGAAGATATGCAAGAATGCATAATGGATTGGTCTTTAGGAAAACCTCTTTCGATTATTCTCCTAACTAGGTTTAATCAATGATTCAACTAGCCTCTTTAGATTACTAAGAAGAATTAATGAACTCAACCAACAATATAATGCAAAGATATCACAAATTATGCTTCTCTCGATTACATGAACTAGTGAGTATAGATGCAACAATTAAATCATCCAAAAATACTTCAATACATAAAACTAGAGTTATAATCCACAAACAATTATCAATACACCAAATCCATCAAACCCTAAAGAGAACTACTCCATAGATATGGAGCAATTCATCACAAATAAAGTTAAACATAAATTCAATCCAAACTCGGGGTTTTGAGCGAGGAAGGAATGATGAAATCCTTGTGCTCGTGTTCTTCCAACTCCTCCTTAGCCTCCTTAGGTTGAATATGTGTCAAAAGTTCATAAAATAATATTTTCCATGCATTTATACCAAGTAGGGTCGGGCTCAAACGAAATCATATTTTTCTAGCCGAAATAGGATATTTATTCTGTAAAAATACACAGGCGCACCGCATGGGGCGACGCGCCATATGGGGCATTAGTGGGGAAATCCAGAGAGCTAAGTTCTGACAGACAATAGGAAATTGCACACCCGCGGCCCCCTCCCACGCGCCGCAACAGTGGGAAATTCTTATAGTACAACTTTTTGCTTGATTTTTAACGTCCAGACTTAGTCCTCGACCCTCGAACACGATCCCGACTTAATTCCTTGGGCTTTTACTCAGACTTCAAAGCTCCAAACCACTCGAATCGGCTCCACAACATCTACATCACTCCTACAAGGCATAAAACACCCAGTAAGTGCAAAACACTACCAATTAAAGCTCAAAACAAGTAAAGTGCAGTGAATTAGAGGTCAATAATTGACTAAAATATGTAATTATAGCCTGCCATCATAAGGTATTGGAGATAATTCCTACCGAAAAGGAATTGAATTCAATGCCTTTAATTGGACAATTACCATGCAGCCGCAGTAGTTCGAAGGTATTGAATCCAGTTCCTTCAACTGATGAATCACCACGTAGTCGTAGTCGAGCAAAAGAAACCAATCGAACTCCTATAATTAGAGAATCATCTCGTACCCAGAGTCATTCTAAACGTTTTATAATGGCGTTTGATGATGAATTAGTTAACACAATATGTTGTGTAAGTTTTTTTTTTTTTTTTTTTTTT